TATGCCGATAACCTTGCCCTACTAGCATCCTTCCGTTCTCAAACCTCCAAGAATCCCAAAAAAACCTCCACATCTCCGCCTCCCCAAACTCCATTACCATAAACCCATCTAAATATCAAGCCATCCTGTTTTCTAACAAAACATACCCATCCACCCCCTTCCCCTAACCATTGCCAACGAACCTGTACCCTGGACACCAGAAATATCCTCGGCGTAACCTTCTCCCTCAGACTCCTTTGGACCAGCAACAGCAACCAGGATCACCAATACGTTATATACACCAACCCCTCCATACCCACCAAGAGAAAAATCCAAACCTAAAACTCCTATATCCGTCCCATGCTATCATATGCCCATCCCACCTGGTTCGCTACATCCCACACCAATCGCACAAACTTAACCTGTGTCAAAAACCACATTATCCGCCTCATCTTCTGCCCACCCAGGTATACTAATTACAACAACATCAAAAGAAAATAACCCATATCCTCACAAACCTCCACACTTCCGCAATAGCCCAAATCCAAAAATATATCAACAACCCCCTACTCCGAAACCTAAACCTTCCTCACCACCACATCCTTAGAAACCCGGGAAAGCATTCCTTAATCATCCTCCAAACTCGTATCCCTGAAACATCATTCCCCTCATATCACGTAAGCCAGATGGCAAAGACAAACAAATGACTAACGATCTAAGCTCCTTGCTAGCTCTCTAGTAGATGAGGGGTTATAAATATTTTAAGCGAGAATATTTTAACTTGTGATTTGTTTGGTTTTATCCCGATTCTCCATTTAACGGTTAATTTAATTAAGGTATTTAAATCATTTTGTAGATATTCCAGGGCAATAATCAGTTCATGTTGTAAGAGGATACCAGTGTCATCTGCGAACAAGGCTATTTCGATATCCATTAATTCCGGAAAACCGGCAGGTAAATTTTGAATAAAGACAGTGACAATGGGGAATGTTGTGGAGCTCCAGCTGAGATTTTGTGTTTATCCGACATGGTGACTTGTATTTTAATATTAAATTATCTGTTTAGCACAAAAATTTCAATTATATCTTGAAGATGCATAGATGGCGAAATTTGTATTTCAGTCCTGTGTGTCAAACACGATCGAACGCACATCTAAAAATAGAGCTGCCATGTATTTTTGCTCATGAAACCTCTTCGTGATCAAATCAGTAACTCTTAAAAATTGATGTTCAGTCGAGTGGTTTGCTCTAAAACCGAACGGGGCATCAGGTTTGGCATTCGTAGCTTATTAGAAATTATTTAACCGAGCTAAAATCAGTCTATCAAACACTTTAGCTAATGAAGGTAATATGCTAATTGGCCTGTAATTGTCTAGTAGTTGTGGACATTTATTAGGTTTGTTTGTTGGAATAATTATTCCGTTTTTCCAATTGCTTGGGTAATAACCAAGTCTTAAAGCTGCATTTAATACTGCCATTCCAAAGCTGTAACCAACATGTTTTGCCGTTTTACATTTTTTGACCATTTGTGAACATTCATGGGAGATCCACGTTGCGTTTGAGCAGTAGAGTACTTTCTATTGTGTATACTATGATATATGTATTTGTTTGTTCCATCTAAACACGTACTGGCCCCCCCCCCCGTTTTGTGGTTCAACTTGTGTTAATGGTTTCAGTTCTCCATGTTTTGCTAGAGATTCACTGGGATTGGGAAAAGTGTTCCCGAAAGTAAACTCTGAAAATTATTATAAATTATTAAAAACTTTTGTGGAGATTATTTCCTTTACCTACTATGTGATGACTACACCAAGATATCTGCTACCACCACGGAATTTACAGGATTGTAATATTATGAGACTAAACTTTTATGAACCTTCAAGTCTTTATTTGTGCAAAAGCTAAGCCCAAATATTAGTAGGTCACCCAATTTTATTGCAAGAAATGACATTAATTGTTCATTAAAAACTTCCCAAACAAAAGATGTTGAAAATACTTATGGTAACTAGCCCGTGACTTTAATATTGAAATTCAATCATTGAAATTTGTATTTAGCACCGGAAACTGCAAAACATTTTTTTTAAATATGATAAAAGTTGCAATATTTATTTATATTTCTAAAAAAACATATATTTATTACAATTAATACATTGAAAAATTAATAGTTTATTATATTAAATTCTGCTTAACTTGGAGTTGAAAGTTTCTCCCCTCGTTTCAAAAAATTAAGAAAATTTTTGGGACTGTGTTTATGAACATTCTGGAATTTTCCCCAACGGTTATTAAAGTTTATTGTAAATAATATTTCTCTAGATGATGATAATAAAAATACAAATTTCTAAAATAAATATTTAAAAGCCGACAGTTTATAAAAATATATGGGAGTCACTTCTACGCTAATACTGGTAAGTATTACCTGTATTGGTAGGTGCATCATAGAGGTACTCGAAATTCGTTGGCACTTTTCAATACCGATGAAAGGGCATGTGAAACCTAATTTTAATACATTTCATTTTGTCATAAAGCAACACCTTAGCATCATCGCTAAGATCATTATAATATTTACCAGTGGCCTTTCCTGCAAGTTCGGGTAGGGGGTGAAATAAAAAGTAGCAAATAGTTTGTCAATTAAACACTGGTTGCCTTCACTACTTAATGAGACGTGGTAGTCAGACGTCATTGTATAGTTACTTATTAGAATCCAAAATTAACAAAAAATAGCAAATAGCAAAACAAGGCTTGGTGGCTCAGACTGAAGTCGCTCGCCTGTCAACAAAGAGGTCCGGGTTAAGTTCCAACAGACAATCTCATGTGAAATTTGTTCCAACAAAACAAGTTTGACTGTTTCACAAGAGCCAGCCTTGTGAAGTGTTCTAAACCCTACCTCTACCCTAATTCCTTCCCAATTCTGGCCGCTAGGTAATGACGCAGATGCGGGTAGTAGGAGGTGCGTACGCGGAGATTGTACCTGGCGCTCCTCTTGACAACTGACTGCGGCGACATATAATGATTAAACAAGTAATGTAAGATTACTCCTAAGCGCACTATAACGGAGAATTTACTCCCAAGCGCAACAAATCAGACGCAATAAATTTAAAAAAAGGAAATATATGTTCTATTATTAATGACCCTATAACAGGAACTCAAAATGCCACGTATTTGGGCACAGAAAAAAAACAACACCCTATTTAGGTTTAGGCCCACACTAGACCCCGCTCGTTGATTCCCTATCAAAATTCGTAGAGATATTAAGCGGTGTCACTTTAGCTCCATCAACTTATCGGTGGGGCTATTTTTTTTAAAGAGTTGTGGAATGTCTTAAATTATTTTTTTTCTTCGTACGTAGTCTTTACAATCAAAATGCACATTTTCAGTTCTTTCGTGTGTTTGCTGCACACGGTATAGAAGATACGGTGAAAACTTTGCTATTCTGTATCATAAAAGCCTCGAGTGACACTAATTATCGAAAATTCTAAATTGACAAATTGTTTAGAAGCTTGAAGACAAAGTTATACTAATGAGATGGTCAATCATGGATGAATATTGTTAATCTATGGTTCAACTTTTATACAACCAACACCCTATGGTAAAGAAAATTTGAACTGCTTCCGTTAAGTCCATATTCTACCGCCCCTGGAGACCGATGAATGAAATTATTGGAGCCAAAATTTGTAAACTAGATGCGTTTGCAAAATCGCCAGACACCTCATTTTTCGGAACTTTCTCAAGCTTGTTATGCGTGTGGAACGATTTGTTCAATTTGTAGTTTCGAGAGCGTTCTGATGTGTTGATTTGTAATGTGAAGTGATTATGTAGTGAGAAATAAATTATATTCTGTCGCATCCATGCTCAATCCTAATATAACCTGTAACTCAATTTGTTACCATAATGCGATGTTCAAATGTTTGAACTTCAGCGCTATTTGCAGCGTCCGGGGAAAGCATTTTCTTCACTACGTACAAAGACAGAAATGACCGTGTAAAACTAGAATAATGCATCCAGTTTCGGCACCGAAACATACTGTGTAGAAACTAACGTCCTTTTTTCATACACTCTTTGTACAGAAAAATGATGACCAAAATATGAAATAATGACCGTGTAAAATAGGCGGGAAATGCTTACGGGAATCCACAGTGTTACAAAACCAATTACTGTACATCGATACGTAGTCTGAAGCGCCCAAAGAAAGGACAGTATATTTTCATATAGTGAAAATGAGAAACATACACTGTGAAGATTAGAAATCATTAAACCAATCGAATAACGAAGGGATGCGACGCATCACTCGCGTCCATTAACGCTACGCCACTGATTACTTATAACAGTTTTCTGAAAGAGAAGGTAGAGACTTGCCGTGTAGTGATAAAATAGTGATTTTTTAAATTCAATGTGTCGACGTAATTTGCAGCCAGAACCTATATAAATCAAAAGAAAGCAAATATCATCGTAAATAACAAATGTGATAAGGCACACGCATTTCGCCAACCACATAATTCAGTCAAAAACGTATTTATCAAGTTGCATATATGTCATTATATATGCGCCTTGTATGGTGTGAGGGCGTGATCAGATTACTGACCACTGGGTGCGCTAGTGATGTCAGTAGGCCCCATTTTCAGCATAGGAAAAAATCATAGGGCTGCGGGACGTGTTATTGTTTACAGTACGATATGAAATGTGATCTCTTAGCAAAACTTTTTAAAAATCAATTTTCAGTGCAGTTTCGGTTAACTTTCTGTTCATAGGATACGAATTTTGTAAACAAGGTTTCTTAAATTTTCAGTGTTATAGTAATTTCTATCGTGTTTCACTGATCAACCGCCACTTTTGATCTGCTCATTAGTAGCATTTCAACACTTCATTTGAAAATTACCATTGGTATTATCCTTTTCTTTCAATTTTATATTTTTGATGCATATTTTTCCATTTCTTTTTTAATAATGCAATATTCATGGGATCTGCTGTTTAATGAATTGAAGTTCTTCGTGATTTGAATACGTAATTACAATAGTTTTTGTTTTTCAGGATGAAAATGTCACCTCAGCAACTGCTTTTAAGTTGGAAAGATCACAATGGTGCTTTAATGTCTGTTTTTGAGAATCTTTTGAAAAGGAATACTTTGGTAGACTGTACACTGGCTGCAGAGGGTCAGTATGTAAAGGCCCATAAAGTGGTGCTTTCTGCTTGCAGTTCATATTTCGAGGTGAGTTTTAATGCATTTTCTTGTAAATTTGAAATGCTTTTACTTGTGAATCAGCTGAAGAATGCCGAAAGGTTTTTTCATTATTTCCTATTTTCGCAACTTGTATATGACGTACTTACAGCTCTCTATATTATTTCATGATTACAAAGCTACACAACATAGCAATTTATTTGCCTTCAGAAATATTTGAATATTCATAATGTGATGCTGTGTAGTTTTTGCTTCTTTTTTCTTCGTCCATATAAAATTAACTTTATCTATTGTTCTTTGTAATTTTTACTGACTAGCTAATCAGCCATTAATTGCTGGGTCATCTTTTTAGCTAGTCCAATTTTAATTTTGAAATCTTATTCTATTTCAGAGATTTTATTCTTATTGTGTGGGTTTGAAAATTCACCTCTGTACGAGATCTCTACTGGTAACTTTTACATTGGGAAATTTCTTTCAGAAACTGTTACTAAAATGAAAACCGTATTCAAAATTTCTAATGCACTACAAGAAATTCAGTTTTGCTGCTTATTTGAATGACATTACTTGAAATTTAATAATTGTTGGATTTATTTTTAAATAATGGAATTTCCTTTGTAGCCAATGCTTGTTTTTGCAGTTCATCATGTCTTTTCATTGGTTTCATTCTTCAATTTCAAATTAATTTTTTTCTTTAAATAGAAACAACATATTGAATGAGAGAAAATATTTTTATGTATAAGAAAAAATATTTTGTTATTATAGACTTTTCTAGTTGGTTTTATGCAAGTAGTGGAGTTAAAAAATGTTTTGTCTTGGTTCAGAAGTAAAGATTCAGGCTATAAAGACTGCAAGATGCAATAAGTAGATCTCATGATCAAATTTCACTGTTGATTTCTTTGCTGTAATGTATATTACAAAAAGAATTTCAGTGTTGTATGTGGAAACCAGTATATGTAGGGTTTTCTGATATGATTTTACAGAAAAGTAGTGAACATGTTTTTTATGTGAAATGATTATATTCCAGTTTTCTTTGTTGTTCTTGCTATGATTAACTAAAATTATGTTTAACTAAAACTATGATAAACTACCATATCTAAACTACAGTGAAAGAGATAGTAGCTTAGTTCCTCATTCTGTTCCAAAAAAATGATTGTCATTAATTCAAAAAATCAATTAAAAAATGATCATCATTAATTTTATCTTCATAAAAATGTTAGCTGATCGAAACTGAATTAGTTAGTAAATTATGTTGTCGAATGAATTGTCGATAAATAATTAAGAACTTGGTATGTGATGGCTTATAGAGAAATCAATTTTGACAGAAAAATTAAATAAACTCACGACCTGAAATTCATTATAAACTTTGATGAGACCTCATAGCTTTTTGTGTGTCAGAATTTTATTTCAAATTATTCTTTACAAAATTAATATTGAATGTTCATAAAATTCATTTGAATGTAAAATATTCTCTACTTGATTTCCTGCAGCTTAAGGTTTTTTACAGAATGGACAGATATGTAGTTAAGAAATGGACTGAGTTGACTGTTCTATATTTGTTCTAAAATATTTTCTTGTTTTTCTTTCTAGTTATTATTTAGTCAGGAGAGCGAGAAGAATCCAATAGTCATTCTTAAAGATGTGAAATTTCAAGAACTGGAAGCTGCGATTAATTTTATGTACAGAGGAGAAGTGGAAGTTTGTGAAGATAGGTTGGCAGCTTTTCTGGAAGTTGCAGATTCTTTGCAAATAAAGGGGTTAGGCAGCGATGGAAAATCTGATGTAAGAACTGTCTTGATTTTTCACGTATTTTTGGGTGGTAATTCTGAAGTAGAATCTTATAATTTAAAAATGAAAACTGTTTGAATTTTTAAATTATGAAGGTGCATACAAATATATATCGATAAGTTTAATTTTGTTGAAATAATTTAGTTGTAATAATAATAATTTAGTTACACAAAATTAATTAAAATTTCCCACTATTGTATAGCCCTCTTCTCATTAAAAGATATCCAAGATACTCAGAGGCAGTGCTGAAATTCATCATCAATACCGAGGAAATTGCATGTGTAGAGGAGAAGTAAATAAATAAATAAATATTTTTCAATAAGTAATGTTATTAGATAAAACCTGATAAATCAGTCCGCCATTAATATGTAAAAAGAGTTTAACAGTCGCATACCAATGGGGGTATCTTTTCCTCCCTATCTTTCTTTAGGTTAGTGTTGCTCTGACATTGTTTAGGACATTTTTTTATTATTAGAACCTTGAACAATTAAGCAAACAGATCAACATAGTGAGTGTGGAACTAGTTGAAAAAAAGGGGCATAAGCATCTGTGTCCCAAGGACCTTAAAATTAGAAAATATTCAAAATATAGTTTATATCCCTGCCACATCTTAACAAAAAATATTTTAACACTAACAGAAAATGATTGTAATATATTGCTATAAACATATAGTACTAGTTCTAAAATGTGTAAAATGTTCCTTTAATTATGTCACTTTAATTATATTTGAGAGTCTGCTTTTGAACCCACCGCTGACCTCCCTATGCTGTTCTCTGAGTACTGGAATCGTATTGGTATGTGACTTAACTATTTTTACAGTCACATGCATCTTAAACTCTTGTTAAAATGCAACTCTACAAGTTTGTTAAGTGCACTTGCACCTACCTGTATGATAAGAAATTTAACATCCTTAGCATCGTAAATAAACAACCATCTATTCGTTGCAAGTCAAATGTTTGTTGAAGAAAAAAGACATGACAATGAGCAAAACAAATCAGATTCAAACAATACCGAGTCAAAGTAACTCATTGTTTTTTTGCGATAATTATTCTTAATTGTAATATTATTAATGGTACAATTAAAAAATGTATATTAGATAAATTAACCTCATTTTTCTGGCATTCTACCAACTGAAACTCTTCTCTGGTAATATTTACTGACGATCTGAAGGTGTTGCCACTGGATGTTGACGTGCCAATTTCCTCGCCAAACGTAATTTCTTTAGTTCTCTTCAGGAGAATTATTTGCATCCAACTTTTATGGAGCCACAATATATACAAATATTGTTTAAATAGATATATCGCATGCAACCTCCTACAATGTCGTTGTAATGTGCCGCAGCAACAGAATTCATTTGTTTACAATTGCAGTAATGTCCTGGTAATGTCATAAGTTTTTGCATTAATCGTGAGATTTTCTGGTGTGAAAGATTGCTGAACATACCACGAAGGGTTACAATGCTGTTACTGCCTCGGCCAAATTACAAATCTCGGCTCTGCTATGCTCTGCCTCAATTTTTATCTTTTGGCCTCTGCAGAAATAACCCTCATAACATTTCTTGGTATGTTAATAGCTATTACGACCTGCAATTCTCATATATTCAGTTAACCAAGGCTTAGGATTATCAGAGAAAAAGACAAATAAGAAAGAAAAAAAAATACATGGGCAAGTGGAATAGATACATAGCATAGGCAGTAACATTGTGCTAGGTGATGCTGCTCAGATTCTAGGAACATTTGGACTTGTATTTAAGATTTAATAATCATCTCATTCATGAGATTAAATTAAAAAAATTAATTCGTGTGATATTGTTGGGCTGATCATGGAACTATAATTGTATATTTTTAATTTAAATAAATTACAGAATAAGTAAAAACAAATAAAGTAAATAAAAATAATAAAATGTGAAACAAAATCCTGTTGCATTACATCTGCAATTTGACAAATCTTCTGTTTGACTAAATATGCAATTTGGAAGTTTAGTAAACGTATTTTATGTAATTTCAGGATGCCAGAGGGAAGTCTCCAACACCAAAGAGCTCGAAGACTGCAGTTCCTCCAAAAGCACATTCCAGCAGAAAGGAAGTCACACTCACGGAAAGTGAGAATACTGTGGAGAGTTGCATCACCCTCGACAGCGATAAGAATAGCAATGAAAGTTCTTCTCACCATCATCTACCGCACAGAGAAACATCAGGATCTTCCTCCATTCCTTCTGCACTTGCCAAAGCATCTTCCTTCAGCATACCATTGGCTTCTACTTCGTGCCCAGTTAGAGTAGAAACTGTCCGTGATAGAGACAAACTGGAGAAGAATCAATGCTCGTCCCCGTCTGTGTCTACTTTCCCTTCAGGAGATACTGTGCCATCAGATGTGAACACTGTAATTAAAGCTGAACCTGTCTCTGATAGTTATGTGGACGAAAAGTCGGATGAGTCTGAGAGAGACTTTGATGATGTGACAATGATGGAAGATCAGGAAGACTGGGATGATCCTAATATTGAGTCAATGGTTGATGACCATTCCTCAAATAAACATGATCCTGGTGAGTGCTTTTAGTTAATTTGAAGGCAGGTGTAGAAAAGGCATTTATGATAAATTGTGTCATTTCAGTTGCATGAAGCGCAAATGATTGAAAGTTATTCAATCCAGTTATAAGATTCCCTGATGAGCATGTTTACTTTCTCGCCATAACTTTGTAAGAAGAGAAAATACGGTGAAACGTCTTTATAACTTTCATCCATATAATGTTTTCTTCTACATTAAGTCATTTTTTTCTAGTCCTGATGAAAAGCCCATGTACACAATGCCATATTTTCGTCCATACTGTGTGTTCCTCTACACAACGATTTCCTTCATGTAACGTTTGTGTTATTGGAACCCTAATCAATTATTTTCCTCTTTATTATATTTAAGCCAAGTTTCTTTGCCACTGTTACTCGACACTTTTGTGGGAAATGATTTCAGAACACTCTCCAAATTCATACTGTTTAATAATTGTTTTCTGGATTCTACAATAATTGTAGAAAGAGAAAATTATCAGCTCTTTCTTTAAATACCTTCTTGTCTTTTCAAACCTGCATTTAAACATTGGAATTTATAATTTTGATAAGAACTATTTCCAGAAGCAAAATGTTTCACATTATTACGCACACTGCAAACCCAAGTAACCAATTAGAAGAGTTTGTGCAGTGTTTATTTGATCAGTCTACATGCTGAAGCTGGGTTGTACAAACAGACCAAACTATTAAATAACAGTGAAAGTATCAGTGGATATAGGGCAGTGCTGTGCTGTGAATTCGAGGAAATTGTAGGTTGGCAATCTTGAAAATTTCATTGAACAATGGATGTGGCTGGGAAGTGGAAAAAGATTTCTATAGAAGAGAAAGTTTCTATTATTAAACAAGTAGAGGCCAATCCTATTGTGACTTGGGTGGAGATAGCCAAGCAACTAAAACTGGCTTCCTCGACTCACAATACAATAATGAAAAAGAAATCATCCATACAGGAAGCTGCTGAGAAATGTGGAAATACAAAGTTAATACAGATGAAACCTCTGAGCTATGATGTAATGGAGTAGGTTAATAACGTGATTTCAGTAAGCTCATGCCGCAAAAAATCCCATAAACAGGAACATTTTAAAGGAAAAAGCTCTGCAAATAGCTTTGCATTTAGGGGTTAAAAATTTCAAGCCTTTCAATGGCTGGTTAGATAATTTTCGACAGCGGCATGGTGTTGTATACAAAGCAGAATGTGGTGAGAGTGAAAGTGAGGACCAGCAGACTGGGACCGTCAGTTTAAGGTTTTAAAACGACGAAACTGCGTATTCTTAATTTAATGCCGGACAAGACTGCCACTCTCTGTGGTGAAAATTGTCATAGCGGGAAAAAAAGCTAGGCTCACCTTACAGGTTTGTGTACAAATACTGATGACTGTGAGAAATTGAAACCTTTGGTCATTGGAAAGCCCAGAAATTCGAAGTGCTTTAAACATATTTTTACTGTACTGTGCAAGTATACTAACAGTACTAAAACATGGATGACCTCTGAAATATTTTTAAGTTTTCTGAGAGAATTTGAAGCCAAAATGGGGAGTGCTGCAAGAAGAGTGCTTATGTTTGTTGATAGATGTGCAGCACATCCCCTGACGTTTCATTTTTTAGCAATGTAAAAGTGGTTTTCCTGCCACCCATGTGCACCAGCAGCACCCCGCACACGTAGCCTACAACCACTGCACTTGGGCGTAATACATGCCCTTAAGGTAAAATTCAGGGCAGCTCTGATGAGGAAGGCCTTGAATGCCATAGATCAAAGCAAGCCAGGAAGCCAGTTGAAATTAAATATTTTGTTAGCATTGATTTTAATTATGTATTCTTCGAGGGAAGTGAGTGCTGAAACGATCAAAAACATTTCAAGAAAGCAGGATTCGAGATCGTGGTGGTTGCTCGAGTGGAAGAAGTTGAAAGTGAATTCCAAGAGTTCCATGAACTAGTAAGCAATAGTGCTATCAGTTTTGAGGACTTTGTGGCAACCACCAGAGTGCTGACTGTGAAGGAGTTGACCCCTGAGAGAAGCGAAAGAAATGGAAGTAAAAATGAACATGGTAGTGGATAGAAAACAACCCTTTGCCCTCATATAACAAGGCAACTGAAGGTTTTGAAACATTCAAAAGGTTTATGATGCCCTGTAAACTTTAGGACAAAACAATAGCTCAATGTTCTAATTTGGAACAAGAAATGGGTTTTAATACAATTCAAAAGAAATAGAAAGCAAACATGCTTGCTTAACTACTTTAAAAAGTTGTAACTCTGTGATGATCAACCTGTGTTAGATACATTTCTTGAAAGTTGACTGAAATTGTACTTTATAATTCAATTATTAAAGTAATTTCTTGCTGCTAATTTAAAAAAAATAAATTCCGTTATTACTATGTTCTTCTGAAATATATCCTCAGTAAAATTTGCCTAGAGTTTTGTAATTATCAATTGAAAGTCTTCTTTTTTTTAGTGTTTTCCTCTATACAGTCTTCAGAATTCTTGATCCCTTAAGAAACTTTATAGAGAGATTTCACTGTATTGTAATTGTGCTTGAAAAGATAGATTTTCTACAGAAAAACTCTTTATTGCTGACCCCTGGTAATGAAAAATTGGGTAAATCTTGTATTCACATATATGCCCTAAGGAAGCATGCGACATGACAGGGGAAATGTCGCCCTCTCAGCCAATAATGAAGCATCACAGCCAAGAAATTCATTAATTTTTTTTCTAAGAAGAGAGAACTTAGACACCAAAAAGGATTTTGGAACATCTTATTGTTAGAGATTCCAAAACCATTCATGAACAGTTGCATACCAACACCAAATCCCATTCTTGTACCCGGAGAACACTAAGAAGCAGGGATAGAAATATATTGAGGTATGACAAAGGCATATTGTAAGTTGGAACGTTTTCTGAACATGCAGTTTGATCTGCAGGGACGGAAGACCACAATATTTTTTTGAAGAACTAGTTCCTCATTCACTGTTGCTCTAACTGTGCTATTGATATGTACTACATCGACAGATGTTAAAATAAAGTGGCAAAATGCTTATGGACTGGCCTTGTTCTAAGAGGTTGCTGGAGTTTCTCAGAAATGCCTATGCATGGATGCACGGTTACTATTTTGATTTGTTGTAAACATCTGGTAAGTATTGGAAGGCAAAACTACAACTAAAGGTTAAGAAATGCTGTAATAGATGCCCTAAACAACGAAACAGTTACTCTGCGTAAACAAAATAGATGCAAATTGCAGCTATGCTAAGGTTTGAGACTTATTGTTGTGGCTTTAGGGCGACATTTTAAATTTGTGGGGAAATTTTGGCAAATTTTGAGGAGCATGAGTATAAAGTAAAAACTACATTTTATTTCATGAACAAAAGGAATTCCAATTGCTCAAACAGTTGCTGCTCTCTAGTGATGGAAAGAAAATGTCTTCTGAAGCATTTTCTTTAGTAACTCACCTATAAATTCTATTTTCTCAATACCACATTTAGGCCAGTTTTATCCTTTAGGCTCTAAGACCCTGATTTCAAAGTTCTAGCAAATATCAGAATAATGTAGTTATCTCATCATTATAGTATTCCCTCAGCAAAGAATGAACAAAACAATTCTCTTTCTCAATTCTTACGTAGAATTTAAATAATTCTTTCTCAACAGGACACGTTAATAACAGCATACTTAAATTTTAAGAAATTAAAGAGAGAGAACACTAAAATTGTATTTATTAATTGTGACAAAGGATGATTTGCTGACATTGAAAGATTTGGTTTTATAAAAGTACATGCTTAAGTAAATCCTGTTCCTTACAAGAAGTGTGTGTATGTGTATATATAATATTGTGTGTGTGTATATATAATAAGATTTGTAAAAGATTTCAAGCTCTTATAAAACAATGGAAAACGCCAAAGATATTGGCACAAAAATCGTGCGATAAAATCTACCTCAGAACTGGAAAAATCCCTAGGGGCCTGACGTCTCTTAACAATCAAAAGAAAATGTCAGTATGTGTCAACGATGAAGCCCAGTTTAGTTTTTTCTATATCTTTAAGGGATTTAAGTTCAACATTGGGGACTTATATTATTAGAACCTTTCTTGACGCTTAGTGATAGTTTCGTTTTTAAATACTAAACGGATGTTTAGAAAAAAAATTGAAAACGTCATCATACTGAAATGATTTTTACAAAATTGAAATTATACTTGCTTATTTATTAACAATCTGTCCAACTTTGTGCAAGTCAATTTTAAATTATTTTAATATCTATTTACTATATTGAAAATATTACTCTTAGTTATTTATTAATGCCCAACATTCACTTTTTTTATACAGTGTGTCTAGAGAGGAAAAGTTGAAACTTCAAAATAAGCTCTTAAGACACTTATAAGCATATTTTGTCTAATAAACTATTTGAATATTCCAAATGGCTATGCTGCTATAAGCACTCAAAAGTTGATTTGAAAAAATGCTTTCTAGACAAAAATGTACATTGCAGAAGCATAGAAACACTCCAGAATCACAAAAAAGTTTATTGATGACAAATCTTAGCCGCCATCATTTGTAAAACTTATTTGAAATCATAGAACATTTGGTGCAAAAAGTAAATGGTTTCAAGCAATGAATTTTTATTCAAAACTTCAGATGAAAATATATTTCTGGCATTTAATTAATTGTGTGCAGTGTATTCACAAACATCTGATTTCTTAACCATATGATATTCTTTGTAAGCAAGATAAAGTAAAATAATTAAAAGTTAATAAGTAATACAATATTGATAGTGTTAGCAAACAAATGCAAATATATTGAAGAATATATAATAGTAATTATTAAACTCAATAATATTGTAATGCTCTACAAATATATAAAAGTATCAGTTTATATTACTGTGAATGGCAGCTGTCATTATTGCCTCTCAGTGCAGCGTTACAAGCAACAACGGCCTCTAATTTGTAAGGAATTCACGTTTTACCAATTAGCATTGTTGATACCACTGGCACTAACATGAAAATGGATTGAAAAATATCTATCTATTTAGCGTTTTTTTAACAGCCTTGGCTGTTTTCCGCATCTCAATTTCCATGCCTCTTTATCCCATAGATCGTTTTCCTCTATTTCTCATTTTTCCATGACTTTAGTTATTGCCATGTTCCATGTTCTCGGTCTTCCCCTGTTACCTCCTTCGATTTGGTATCCACTCCCAAACTTTTTGAGGAAGTCTATCTGATTTCAACCTTCTCATATGTCCATACCGTTTTAGTTGTTCCATTTTGATCGTCTCATTCAAGGTTGTTCGCTCTTTCATTTTATTACTTATTTCATTAATTCTTATTTTATCTAACAAAAAATTTACATCATCTTTCCCAGAACATCATTTCTGTTGATTGAAATTTGTCTTTCAAATTTTTTTGTTAGTGTCCAGACTTCTGCCAGGTACTCTCTATGAAGGAGCTATATATGCGTTTTTATGTCTTCATTGAAATAGAGTTCCATAGCACTGGATTCAACTGTCTTGTAGCTGTTTTTCCTCTTATATTTTTATTTTCCACATCCTGTTCGTCCCTACCATCTGCTGTTAGTTTGTCGCCCAAATACTTATATTGTGTATTACCTTTAATTATTCGTATACTAGTCTCTAAATCATGGGGC